AAAACGTGATGCCAAAAGTTTAAAATGAAGTTTAAATAATAAAAAAATGCACTTTAACCGATAAATATAACATAAAACTAGGGATGTACGCAAAAAAGAAAAAAAAAAAAAATTTAGATATTTTTTTTTTTTTTTGTGGACGTCCCTAGTTTTAAGGTATGCTATACTTATCGGTTAAAGTGCATTTTTTTAATTTTTAAAAATTCATTTTCAACCTTAGGCATCATGTTTTCTTTTTTTTTTTAAATTAAAAAATGCACTTTAACCGATAAATATAGCATACCTTAAAACTAAGAACGTCCACAAAAAAAAAAAAAAAAGAAAAAACGTTACACGGTTTAAAATGAATTTTCAAAAATTAAATGCATTTTAACCAATAATTATCGCATACCTAAAACCTATCGGAGTCCACAAAAAAAAAAAAAAAAAAAAAAAGTGATGGCTAAGTTTCCAAATGAAATTAAAAAAAAAAAAAATACACTAACTGATAAATATAGGATTCCTTAAAACTTAGGACGTTCACAAAACAAAACAAAACAAAAAAAGAAAAGAAAGAAAGAAAGAAAGAAAGAAAGAAAGAAAGAAAAGAAAAAAAAAAAAAAAAAAAAGAAAAACATGATGCCTAAGGTTTAAAATGAATTTTTTAAAATTAAAAACTGCACTTTAACCGGACGCAAAAAAGAAAAAAAAAGGGACGTACGCAAAAAAGAAAAAAAAAAGAAAAAAAAAAACAACTTAGATATCAGTTTTTTTCGTGGACGTCCCTAGTTTTAAGATATGCTATAATTATCGGTTAAAGTGCATTTTTTAATTTTTAAAAATTCATTTTCAACCTTAGGCATCATGTTTTCTTTTTTTTCTTAAATTCAAAAATGCACTTTAACCGATAAATATAGCAAACTTTAAAACTAAGGACGTCCATACAAAGAAAAAAAAAACTTTACACGGTTTAAAATGAATTTTCAAAAATTAAAAAATGCAATTTAACCAATAATTATAGCAAACCTGAAACCTATTCCTTAAAACTTAGGACGTCCACAAAACAAAAAAATATAAAGAAAGAAAGAAAGAAAGAAAGAAAGAAAGAAAGAAAGACAGACAGACAGAAAAACGTGATGCCTGAGGTTTAAAATGGTTCCTTAAAAATTAAAAATAAATTGACTTTAACCAATAAATATAGCATACCTTAAAACTAGGTGACTTCTACAAAAAATAAGAAACGTGATGGCTAAGATTTCAAATGAATTTTTAAAAATCAAAAATAATTCTTGAAGCTTTTATTGTAGTTTTAAGTCTTACCTAATAGTTTAAATTTAATATTTCCAATAAGCAAAATACTTTCAGAAACTAATTTAAATTGACTGGAAGATATTTTTCTTTTTCTTTTTGGTAGATTAGCTGATTAATCGTCTTTAATCACATTGCAATTCTCTGTATTAAAATATCTTCCAAAATTAAATATACCATTCTTAAAATTTATTTTAGGAATAGTAGCATGTATATTGAATTTTAGAAATATTGGCACTAAATTTGTTATTGTCATTGCTTTTATTTTCTGATATTATCGTGTATGGTAGTTCATACTTACTAAAATCATTACGTTTATGCATATTGTTTTGACCAAGTAAATGGTTAAGTAATAACAAAAACCAGGTTTGCAGATATATCGTATATTAAACAATAAGTACACCAGAAGAGTATTACACAACTAGTGAGAGTGTATCGAATGAACTAGTGCTCAATCTAGTCACTGTTCACTGTTTCCCGAAGCCTTCTCTCCTACTAACCTTATAGTAGGCGGAAGAGTCTAGCATAGACACCACAATACATATACAAAAAAAAAAAAATTCAAACTTTTTATTAAAATATTACTATTTAATTATTTGTAATAAAATTTTCTGTTTATGATTTTCGATTAATAATAAAAGGCTGAAATTCATACAGAATTTTTGAAGGGGTTAAAATACATTTTTCTAGTTAAAATTTAAAAAGAATGAAAAGAATTCATTGTTCTTCAAAAATTGTTTTCTTAAGACAATTGTGTCCTTAATATATTTCATTTATAAAAGCAATTAAAAGCTTTTCTAATTAAATAATATCTTAGTTTTATTTCATTTTTTATTTTACGATTCAGGGCAGATTTTCGGTAAATGGTGTTTGTTTGAGGAAAAACAAATTGATAATTTAATTGCTCCAAAGAGTTCTGCTTTTAACAAACATAGATATAGAGAAGCTGATGATTTATCTTTTTTTTTTTTTAACCATTTCACCCCAAGCAAGGCAAGAATGCCACTGGTATGCAGGGGTTTACAGAGAGTGAAAGTGTGCGAAAAGACTGGGCATAGAAGAGATTGAGGAAAGGATAAGAGATGAACGAGGTTCAAGTCAACAGAAGATTGCGGTTGAGGTTGCAGTTAAATATTTGAAGATTGTAGTTATCAGGGAAGCAAGAAAGCGGAAGGGAACTCGACTGTCGGGAAGTGCGAGAAAAGCAGCTGCTGGAGTAGAAGTGGTGGTTACATTTAACTCTTTCAGTAATAAAAGTATGGGACCTAGATGCCAGTCTAGTAGCACGTTTGAATTCATGTAGTCAGGTCACCTAGGAAAAAAAGCTTGTCAGTACAGTAGCCATGAAAATATGTGTAGAATAGTCAGAGGGAAGTCACGTCGCTTTGGTGAGAAAGTGACGTAAGTCGAGATACCAAGTCAGTGTCTATTACATTTCTTTGGAAAACATTTTATTATCTAATCTAGAGAATGGTCCTAAAGTTTTGGACTAAAGTGAATATATATATATATATATATATATATATATATAATTACATGGACAAAGTCCGACAATTATTTAAAGCATTTTTACGTTTATACATTCTTTTTATAGATATAAATATTTAAGTAAATGCTCTGCTTTATAATAAACAGTATTAAACAACATTTACCGGCCTGAATGTCTCAAAAATTTTCAAAGAAAATATTCGTCCTCTGACAGGAATCAAACATGTATCCTATAAAAAAGAGCGTATAAACATAAAATAATATCTGAAAATAATTGTCTGACTTTGTCCATTTCATAACACACGCACGCACACACACACACGCACACACACAGACTATATATATATATATATATATATATATATATATATATATATATATATATTTTAAACAATTTTTTAAAAATACAATTTCAGAAATATTTTCACTCATTGATGAATATGTCTTGAAAGTTTCTTTAAAATCTGACAATCATTTGATTTTTGCTAAAATTTCTAAAACAATGTGTTTTTAAATGCTAAAAAGACGATAAAATTCCCTCTTTGGCCCACCTGCTGATAAATAAAAAACAAGATTTTTAATCAAAATCTCGAACGTGCTAGAAAGGATTAAAAAAATTTAATAAAATAATTCAAAAATATTTTTGTCTTTGCTGTTAATAATAGCATAAACATGTTGACGATAAAACTTTGTTTTCATCATTTGGGGAGTCTTTTTACATTGTTGGAAGTACCTACTTAATAATATTATCAAAACACTTTTAGTATCTGTCTATATTTCTGAGATGAAGTATTATGTACACTATTTACATTATTCGGACTATTGTCCTCATCTTTGTCGCCATATTTATCACCCTTCAGTATCTGTCTATATTTCTGAGATGAGGTATTATGTACACTATTTTCATTATTCGGACTATTGTCCTCATCTTTGTAGCCATATTTATCACCCTTCAGTATCTGTCTATATTTCTGAGATGAGGTATTATGTACACTATTTTCATTATTCGGACTATTGTCCTCATCTTTGTAGCCATATTTATCACCCTTCAGTATCTGTCTATATTTCTGAGATGAAGTATTATGTACACTATTTACATTATTCGGACTATTGTCCTCATCTTTGTAGCCATATTTATCACCCTTCAGTATCTGTCTATATTTCTGAGATGAGGTATTATGTACACTATTTTCATTATTCGGACTATTGTCCTCATCTTTGTAGCCATATTTATCCCCCTTCAGTATCTGCCTATATTTCTGAGATGAGGTATTATGTACACTATTTTCATTATTCGGACTATTGTCCTCATCTTTGTAGCCATATTTATCACCCTTCAGTATCTGTCTATATTTCAGAGATGAGGTATTATGTATTAATTATTTACATTATTCGGACTATTGTCCCTCATCTTTGTAGCCATATTTATCCCCCTTTCAGTATCTGCCTATATTTCTGAGATGAGGTATTATGTACACTATTTTTCATTATTCGGACTATTGTCCCTCATCTTTGTAGCCATATTTATCCCCCTTCAGTATCTGCCTATATTTCAGAGATGAGGTATTATGTACTATTTTCATTTTCATGTCCTCATCTTTGTAGCCATATTTATTCAGTATCTCATATTTTTGAGGTATTATACACCATTTTCATTATTCGGACTATTGTCCTCATCTTTGTAGTATTTGTCACCCTTATATTTCTGAGATGAGGTATTATGTACACTATTTTTCATTATTCGGACTATTGTCCTCATCTTTGTAGCCATATTTATCACCCTTCAGTATCTGTCTATATTTCTGAGATGAAGTATTATGTACACTATTTACATTATTCGGACTATTGTCCACATCTTTGTCGCCATATTTATCACCCTTCAGTATCTGTCTATATTTCTGAGATGAGGTATTATGTACATTATTCAGACTATTGTCCTCATCTTTGTCACCATATTTATTACAAAGTTTCGGCCGTTGTACGGTCCGGCCTTCTTCAGGTGATTGGAATGTCGAACGGAACCTTTTATTTCGCTCACTGAGGTAGACTGTTCTAGTTCAACGTGCCATGTTTTAATGGATGTCAGTTATAAGTTATCTCTGTTAATATCAATATATATATATATATCAATATATATATATATATATATATATATATATATATATATATATATATATATATATATATATTAGCAACTGGAATAATTTAGAAAAACGCTGTTATATTCAGAAAGAAAGACAAAAGAAAGAAGAAAGAAAGAAAAAAGAAAAAAGAAAGAAAGAGAAGCAGATAAACATAAGCGAAAGAAATATAAATTGCTATACAGGCAGACAGAAGAAGAGATCGTCAAAGGCATGAAAAACACTGGAATATTCAGATACTGAATAGACGCGTTGTATTGGCACTTAAACAATATTTTGATAAACAAAACGAAAGAGAGGCTGAGAGACAGACAGATATGAACAGGCTGACATAGATAGATAGAGAGAGAGTGAGAGAGAGATGAGAGATAGAGAGATGAGATAGAGATGATAGATAGATAGATAGATATCAAAACAGACAGATAGATGATAGAGATGAATAGATAGATAGATAGATAGATAGATAGATATGAACAGACTGAGATAGATGAATGAATGAACAGACTGATATAGATAGATAGATAGATAGATAGATAGATAGATAGATAGATAGTGACAGAGATAGATATGAACAGACTGAGATAGATAGATAGATAGATAGATAGATAGATAGATAGATAGATAGATAGATAGATACTGCAATAGATATGAACAGAGATAGATAGATAGATAGATAGATTGATATGAACAGGCTGTCATAGATAGATAGATAGATAGATAGATAGATAGATAGATATGAAATGACTCAGATGGAATCCTTCTTCATCAGCTAATCACTTTTCTGATTAGCTGAAAATTAAAAACAAAAAAACTACTTTTTTCTTTTATCTTTGAATTGGAATATAATTTCGTTTCTGAAGCTGCTTTGATGTTTCTCTTACTGCAAATCGTAGATGTTGTTTTTGATTAAATAATATATTCTTTCTTAATATATCGACACTCGTTCATGCTCTCGTCGAATGACTGCACATAGGCACTTCTCAGATAAGGGGTACCTCGAAGCGGTGTAATATTTAGCAAGCTTGTCTCGCTAGAACATTTACGACTGACTAGTGAACTCGATCCTCATTGGGTGCCCCATACTTTCGGCCTTGTGCCACATCTAAGCTACGCTTGGAAAATTACTACGTATTTCTCAGCTGTTACGGAACGCTCTTGCAACATTTCAGATGTGTTGTGTGTGTGTGTGTGTTTTTTTGGGGGGGGGTATCTGACGTCGGGGTGTCATTACTGCAACCCTGCAATCAACCATTTTCCTGACCCCTAACTGACCTTCTTGTCCCTAACGTTCTCACAACATTATGAGGCTGCAGCGGAAGAATTTCGAACTTCTCAATTATATTATCAGAATATTACTGAAAAAAATGAGACTTACGGCCATATCATGTTGAAACAACAGTTCCCATAGGATCACTGATGTTAAGCAACGTTGAACTTTGTCAGTACCTGTATGGGTGACCACTTGGGAATATCAATCAAATACTGATTCGCTACCCAGGCATGTATTTTAGATTTATTTACATTATCTGGAATATAACTGTATCGAAACTACCTCGGCCACAAAGTGGGGTATCATTTTATATATGGATTGTAACATAGAACTGATCCCCCACTTTGTATCCGCATTATAATTTGTTTGTCAAATTCTGATCAGGCATGGATCCAGCTTTTCTCCCCAACTACGGGTTAAATAGTAAGAATTGTAACAGTAAATCCTTATTGTCTCCAAATAAAAATTATTACAATCTAAAAGAATTTTCTGGGTTTCATTAACATGCAAAAAGTTTATAACCCGTAGAAACCGAATCAATCAAGGCAATACAGATTAGCTACGAAGGAATGGATTTTAAATTTATTTACTTTGTTTGGAATATAAATCTATAGAAATTACAGTGGCACAAAGTCAGGGATCAGTCTATATATTGATTTTTTAAATAGAAGTGATCTCACACTTTGTATCCACATTATAATTTCTTGTTTCTTTGTCAAATTCTGACATCTTGGGTAAGACGATAACCTACATCCGCCCACTAGGTAAGACGATAAACTACATCCGCGTCCTTGGGTAAGACGATAAACTACATCCGCGTCCTGGGTAAGACGATAAACTACATCCAGCAGCGAGGTCCCTGATCAGGAGTTTTTGAGGAGCATGGAACCAGCTCTTAATTGCTGGTGTTCCCAGGTCCACCGTCCGGGGTGGTAGCACCTGTTAGGGTCCCAGCTATGGGCAAATAGTTAACCCCTAAACTGGGGTCAAAACACTATGAAAGTGTAAAAATAAGTTTTAATACCAGCAATACATTTTTGTAAAAAAATATTACCAGCAATGCATTTTTGAAGAAAAAATATATTAGCAGCAATACATTTTTGACAAAAATATTACCAGCAATAAAAATCTTGTCGGCATTAAATAACCCACTGAGGGGTTGAAATGTCGTAAAACAAAACAAAACAAAACAAATCAATCAAATTTTGACAGGTATCAATTCATGTTTCCTCCTTTCTAGTTATGAGTCATTTAGTAAAACTTGTAACACTAAAGCATTATCTCTTAAAAGAAAATTTCTTAAAATCTAAAATATTTTCTGGCTTTAAATAACCTAAGCCGTAAAAAAAACCCAAAAAAACAAATCCAATCAATCAATGAGTAATACATATGTATAGAATATATTAATTTAAAAAAAAAAATAAAAATGACTAATTTACATGATCAGATTTTTCAATTTTCAGATCTTCCTGAAATTTAAGATCTATTTTATACTAGCAGTAGAGCCCAGTGTTACCCGGGGATGTAACAGTAAGAGATAGATCAAGTATCGACCATCATAAAGACTGAAAAATAAAATTGACAAAGATTATTGTTTAAGGTTGACGGACACGCATGTCTTAATTAGTTATTTTTTTTTTTTTTTTACGAATTGGTCAAACCCAAACTCGAACAAGAACATTGTTTTCAATCGTTATGAGTCTATCGATTGAATAGAATTTTATTAAAACAATTGTCTTGTAAATGGAATTTTTAAAGCATTCTGAATGTAAAAATAAAGAAAAAAGTGTGCAAGACAATAAGAAACACAAAAAAAGTGAAGTTTTGTTGAAATCGGTTGAAAAATGTAGGAAATCCGATCCTATATATAAACGAACACACACACAACCTGAATTTTATAATAAGTATAACTCGATATGAGTTGTCCCTCTTTCATTTTCGCGATGCCTCTTAATCGTGTTTTCAAATTGATTTCGTGCAAAAACAATTGTGTTTTTCCAACTTTTTGGCGCTGTCAGAACCACCGCAAGGTAATCTTACGTAGTCCTGTGAAGTTTTGTTGAAATCGGTTGAAAAATGTAGGAAATCCGATCCAATATATAAACGTACAGACACACACACACAACCTGGGTTTTATAATAAGTATGATTAATGTGACGTTACGGTAACCTGGAGAGACTTCAACTCAGTCAGGCTTTGTCTTAGCCAGGAAACACCACTGCCACTGTGGCTGTACTACATGTAATGCCCTTACAACATTAATTTGATAGGCAAACTCTCATTTCCTCCTCAATACACTGAAGAGTTCCTCCCTTTTAGCACTTAATTGTGGTGAGAGCAGGAAAGACAAATTCACATAAAATAAAAACAAAACGGATACCGAAATATAAGTATATTTATTTATATCTGGACTCCTATTTCTCTGGAAAGTTAGGGTGCATCTAGACATCTTCCAGGGCACACTAGTACGCCCAGGGGTGGTCCATCTGAGAACCACTCATCTACGTACTGACCATGTTAAAAGTTGCTTAACTTCGGCGACCGCACGACAACCGGTGTTTCAACGTGATATGGCCGTAAGCTACTTGAAACTTGTAGCATAAATGATGAATAATTTTTTTTCAGTCGGTAAATTTAAATGAGAGTCTACAAATACTACAGAGTTTCACGCCGTGAAAGGCAACAGGTCACATAATATACGTGAGTTTTTAGCAACTTGTCCCTAAGTTAAAACTGAACCGTAGCATTAGACGCTTGACAATTGCCTTGTAACGACATCAGCGCAACACTTCTACTACAAAATCTCTCCAGAAATCCTAATCACACTCGGAGTGAAAAACATTGATTTGGTTATGACCACACTAGTTTCCATAAATGTTCCCTTGTCTTGGGAAGTGTCCGATCCCAAATCAAATAGGAATGCTTCCTGATATATCGAAATACTACACCGTGATGTGTGGACATCTCAGGAGGTTCAAAAATCGGAACAAGTAAATTAGATTTAGAGGCGGATATACGGAGAAATTTATGAATATATTAGTAAGGTTGTTCCTGGATGATAGTATCTCTTACATTCATGGAATTTTTTTTTTAGCAGGTAAGGCTCATGTCATCAAATATATATGCATGCTTGGAGCGCGGCAGGTCATCACATTAACGTAGATAGAAATATAGATATAAACAGTATGCAAAATATATATATATATATATATATATATATATATATATATATACACACACACATATATATACATAAGTTTGTCTGATAATATATATAAATATATATATTAATGTATATATTAATATATGTATATTAATATATATATATCAAAATATATAATATAAATGTATATAATATATAATATATACATATAAAATATATATACATAATATATATATAAAATATATATAACATATATATAAATATACATATAATATATATATAATATATATAATAAAATATATATATATATATATATATATATATAAAATATATAATATACATATAATATATAAAATATATATAAATATATATATTAAAAATATAATATATAAAATATAAATATATATCAATATATATATTAATCAGTTAATTAATTAATAATATTAATATATATATATATATATATTAATCAATTTAATATATATTAATATATATGTAATATATATATATTATATATATATATATATATATATATTAATATATATAATAATAAATATATTAATATATATATATATATATATATATATATTAATATATATATTAATCAGTTTGTCTGATATATATATATATGTGTGTGTGTGTATGTGTGTG